CCTCGTGGAGTATTAACAGACTGCTGGGGCAAGTGCTGTTAAGCGAGCACCTATGAAGGCCCGGCTGCCTTTGTTTCCCTAGTGGCGATGTTGACACACGGCACCAGGTACTCGTTTGAAACTAAAGTAGAAACTCGACCGGTCCTGGCAGGCAGAGGACGGGTTCAGAAAATCGTCGAGCTAACCGCTGCTCCACTGCTCTCCAACACACACACCACTACCACACACACCATACACACACACACACACCACTAACATACACACACACACCACCACACACACCATACACACACAACATACACACACACACCACTAACATACACACACACACCACGACCACACATACACACACCACACACACACCACTACCACACACACACCACTACCACACACACACCACTACCACACACACACCATACACACACACCACTAACATACACACACCACGATCACACATACACACACACACCACTACCACACACACACCATACACAGACACCATACACACACACACACCACTATCATACACACACACACACCTCAACCATACACACACACCACTACCACACACACACACACCACACACACACACCACTACCACACACCATACACACACAACAGCATACACACAACAGCATACACACACCACTATCATACACACACACACCACTACCATACCCACACACACAACAGCACACACACCACACCATACACACACCTCTACCATACACACACACCACTACCATACACAAACACACACCACTACCATACACAAACACACACCACTACCATACGCAACACCATACCACCACCATGCACACACCACAAAACACACGACCCACATTCACAACTACCGTACACTCACACACCACACTGCCATATACACCACCATAACACAGACACACCACTACCCACACTGTGATACACACACACACAAAACACACAAACAAATCGCCATCAGCGTCTGTTGCACTGCAGCAATATTGTTTAAATGGCTTAATTAGGTCAAATTGGTGTCAGCTGGAGTGGCGTGAACACGCACACACCAACCATCATGTTCCCCTCCATTGCAGCTCTGTCGTCCCAACAGGTTTGTTCCTTTCACCTGAAGGCGGCCACTTGTGTTGTGGCCGAAACGTCGTGAGAATTTTATTGTTTTATTTTATGATTTTATTCTCATTCTACGTGACTTTACCGAAAGAACCAAAGAAGATCCCCCCGTATAGCCTGGTCAGATTATTGGGGCAAGCGCTGTGAGCGACGCACCTCTGAAGGCACGATGTGGGCCAGCGCCACGCCCGACCGCCTTTGTCTCCCCAGTTACGACATTTACACATCGCACAAGGGAAATCATTTTAACGCACTGAAAACACACACGCAAATTAAACGAATGCACATTTGTGCTTAACACGCAAAGCATTCGATAACCATCAATCTATGCATACAATCGATAGCGAGCTTGAATCATACCGATACTACCGGAGCGTGCACACACAAACACGAATACGCACGCACGCATAAAACGCGTACTACGTACACAATAACAACTGCATATGTGCACACAGATCCACACACGTGTGCGCGCACACACACACATACACACTAACATTGCGTACGAACGCATTACCCGTACAGAGATTTCATCCAACAGTAGAGTTGGCAAATGGCTGCAAATTATGATGGCTATGTAAAGCGACCGGACTGTTTGGGCAAACAAGAGACAAAACTCCCCCAGGTATTAACCGTAACGGACTGTCGGGGCCGCCTTTGTCTCCCTAGAGGCGACGTTTACACACAATACGACGAGACCCCGCATCATAAACCATGCTTGGGCTACCGTCACCTTCACGGAAGGTGACGAGAGTCGAACGACCACAGCACTGATGGTGGCAGACGTTACAGACAGGAGTCGAACTCAGGTTATCTTCCTGGTTCTTTCGGTAAAGTCACGTAGAAGGGAAATAATAAAATAATAAAAAATAAAACATAGTAACATTCTCACGACGTTTCGGCCACAACACAAGTAGCCGTCCTCAGGCGCTGTCTTTCCGACAGTCCTGTTTCTTCACCTGAGGACGGCTGCTTGTGTTGTGGCCGAAACGTCGTGAGAATTTAATTTTTATTATTTTATTATTTCCCTTCTACGTGACTTTACCGAAAGAACCAAGATGATGAATCCCTGCAGTCACGAAAGCTTTAATTCGAAATTGCACTCAGGTTAGTTAGAGAGATCGTAGTGAATTGTGCACTAGCCATGATGTGCCCACCAGTAGCAAATATGAAGGACTAATACGCGTAACACATGCGCGTGATCGCCACTTTGTGTACTAGTAACAGCCGCTTTGCCCATTTATATTGGACCATACTTCACCACGCTGGTGAGTGCGAGTTGGGCGACGTGAGAGGAACATAGATGTATAGTACAACAACAATGTTTTAACATGCACTGCACATTACCACCAACCACATCCTATTGCGACCTGTTGTTGCATAGTGGCCACTCATCCAAAGAAATGTCCAGGCTGACGCCTCATTCCATATGTGATGAGGCCAAGTCATGCGGAATACCCTGATACACATTCCATCTAACGCTTGTTGCACATCGCAGAGGGACAGACATTGAAATGGAGACAGACACACAGGCTGAGAGAAACACACAGAGAGACAGAGAGAGAGAGACGGCTATTGATGGCGATACAACGCCGGGTGCATGGTGGACACCTTCCAAGATACACAGGGAGAGATGGAGAGACAGGCTCTATGCAGATTCCATTACCGGGTCACATACGCAGAGAGATGCAGCAGATACGGGACGGATACAGAGAGAGACAAGCATGTTGGAGACAAAGGCATGTAGAAACTGACGTATGGCAAGAGACATCGATTGAGAACGGTTTACACTACAGATGCGTAACAAAGATGGAGAAAGACACGTGTGGATGGAAGGCGGACAGAGATTTTGCGTCAGAGTGCGCAGAGACAACGGCGATTGTTCTGGACAGGGTGAGACGGCGACTGAGAGAGAGACAGGGTTAGATGTACACACACAGAGAGAGACACACAGAGAGACACACAGAGAGAGAGACATACACAGAGAGACACACACAGAGAGAGAGACATACACAGAGAGACACACACAGAGAGAGAGACATACACAGAGAGACACACACAGAGAGAGAGACATACACAGAGAGACACAGAGAGAGAGAGAGACATACAGAGAGTCAGGGTCAGATGTACACACAGAGACACACAGAGAGACACACACAGAGAGAGAGAGAGAGACACAGAGAGAGAGACATACAGAGAGAGAGAGAGACAGGGTCAGATGTACACACACAGAGAGACACAGAGAGAGAGAGACACACACAGAGAGATACACAGAGAGAGAGACAGGGTCAGATGTACACACACACACAGAGAGACACACACAGAGAGAGAGACACACACACAGACACACACACACACAGACACACACACAGAGAGACACACACAGAGAGACACACAGAGAGAGAGACACACAGAGAGACACACACAGAGAGACAGGGTCAGATGTACACACACAGAGAGACACACACACAGAGAGAGACACACACACAGAGAGAGACACACACAGAGAGACACTCACAGAGAGAGACACACACAGAGAGACACACACACAGAGAGACACACACACAGAGAGAGACACAGAGAGAGACACACACACACAGAGACACACACAGAGAGAGACACACAGAGAGACACAGAGAGAGAGAGAGACACACAGAGAGATAGGCAGGGTCAGATGTACACACACAGAGACACACACACAGAGAGAGACAAACACACAGAGACACACACAGAGACACACAGAGAGAGACACACAGAGACAGAGACACACAGAGAGACAGGATCAGATGTACACACAGAGACACACAGAGAGAGAGAGGATCAGATGTACACACAGAGAGAGAGACACACACAGAGAGAGAGAGAGACGGGATCAGATGTACACACAGAGACACACAGAGAGAGACACAGAGAGAGACAGGATCAGATATACACACAGAGACACACAGATAGACACACAGAGAGAGACAGGATCAGATGTACACACAGAGACAGAGAGAGAGAGACGCACAGAGAGAGAGACAGGATCAGATGTACACACAGAGACACACAGAGAGAGAGAGGATCAGATATACACACAGAGACACACAGATAGACACACAGAGAGACAGGATCAGATGTACACACAGAGACACACAGAGAGAGAGAGACACAGAGAGAGAGAGACTGGATCAGATGTACACAGAGAGAGAGAGAGACAGGATCAGATGTATACAAAGAGACACACAGAGAGACACAGAGAGAGAGAGACAGGATCAGATGTACACACGGAGACACACAGAGAGAGGGGCGGATGGGAGCCGGAGTAACGCAGCGATGCGGAGAGACAAACTCGGGAGAGACGAATACACCACAGAGACACGGAAATGGAGACACGGAAGGGCAGATGCAGACACACGGAGACACTCACACAGACACAGCGACAAGAGAGACAGAGAGAGACAGAAGCACAGAGGCAGACACCGTAAGACAGAGACACCGTAAGACAGAGACACCGTAAGACAGAGACACCGTAAGACAGAGACACCGTAAGACAGAGACACCGTAGGACAGAGACACCATAAGACAGAGACCACAACGCGGACTGAGACACCGTCACACGGACACACCCGCAGGGCTGTAATCTACACACGCGCGCCACAGTCCGCTTGGACAGACATCGAGACACAGCGAACGCATTCACGCAGAGACACAGACACGGGGAGATGGAGACACGGGGAGATGGAGACACGGGGAGATGGAGACACGGGGAGATGGAGACACGGGGAGATGGAGACACGGGGAGACGGAGACACGGGGAGACGGAGACACGGGGAGACGGAGACACGGGGAGACGGAGACACCGGGAGATGGAGACACGGGGAGACGGGGCCAAGTCCCGCCATCATCACCTGTACGGAAGCCCAGTGCTCGCCTCTCCTTCTGCCTCTCGTCTCGTCTCTGTCCGCGTGTCTCCGTCGTTGTGCGCGTCTCCTTGTGTCTCCCGTATGTCTATCTCCTTGTCTGTCCCCCCACCCCTCCCCGCACCCCCCAAACGGTGTCTTGCCGCTGTGGTCGCTGGAGCGACGATGCCTGCGCCGGCAGCGTTCAGAGCCGGGGAGTCTGAGAGTGGCAACGCGCAGCAGCAGCAGCGCGGACCCCACGCAGAGAGAGAGGCATTCCTCCAGCTCAGCGCTACACAGCCTACACACACACACCCTCTACACACTAGCCCTCCCTACATACACACAGACTACACACACACACACCCTCTACACACTAGCCCTCCCTACATACACACAGCCTACACACACACACCCTCTACACACTAGCCCTCCCTACATACACACAGACTACACACACACCCCCTCTACACACAAGCCCTCCCTACATACACACAGCCTACACACACACACCCTCTACACACTAGCCCTCCCTACATACACAGCCTACACACACACCCCTTCTACACACTAGCCCTCCCTACATACACACAGACTACACACACACACCCTCTACACACTAGCCCTCCCTACATACACACAGACTACACACACACCCCCTCTACACACTAGCCCTCCCTACATACACACAGACTACACACACACACCCTCTACACACTAGCCCTCCCTACATACACACAGACTACACACACACCCCTCTACACACTAGCCCTCCCTACGTACACACAGCCTACACACACACACCCTCTACACACTAGCCCTCCCTACATACACACACCCTACACACACACCCCCTCTACACACTAGCCCTCCCTACATACACACAGACTACACACACACACCCTCTACACACTAGCCCTCCCTACATACACACAGCCTACACACACACGCCCCCCCTACACACTAGCCCTCCCTACATACACACAGACTACACACACACACCCTTTACACACTAGCCCTCCCTACATACACACAGACTACACACACACGCACACCCTCTACACACTAGCCCTCCCTACATACACACAGCCTACACACACACACACCCTTTACACACTAGCCCTCCCTACATACACACAGACTACACACACACGCACACCCTCTACACACTAGCCCTCCCTACATACACACAGCCTACACACACACACCCCCTCTACACACTAGCCCTCCTTACATACACACAGACTACACACACACACCCTCTACACACTAGTCCTCCCTACATACACACAGACTACACACACCCTCTACAAACAAGCCCTCCCTACATACACAGCCTACACTCACACCCCTCTAAACACTAGCCCTCCCTACATACACACAGACCACACACACCCCCTCTACACACTAGCCCTCCCTACATACACACAGACTACACACACACACCCTCTACACACTAGCCCTCCCTAGACACACAGACTACACACACACACCCTCTACACACTAGCCCTCCCTACATACACACACAGCCTACACACAGCCTTTACACACTCAGCCCTCCCTACATACACACATAGATAACACACATGCTCCACACACTCACTACATACGGTTTACATACACACCCTCCCACTACACATACAGTGCACATTAGCCCTGCCGCTACACACACACCTATCACCTTAATGTCAAGCACACAACTGCAGCGTTAACTCTTAACTCCACACACAAAGATCCCCGTGTATCCCCTTTAACAGACGGTGCTATTAGCGAACACCTATGAAGGTCGCCACGGTTCAAAATGGGTTGGGTGAACGACACCGCGCCCGGTCGCCTTTGTCTCATTCGGTACTGGCATTTAGACAACGAACCGGCCCACTCAATTACGGCTGAGTCTACCTGGGACAGGCACAACGCCAGTTCAAATATTTGGCACCGGCCGTGAAAGGGACTCGAACTCAGGGTCACCGTATCGCTAACCACTGCGCCACCGCTCCTCACACCTCTTTACACACACCCACTACCCATAGAACCCTACACACCCCTATACCCCCCCACACACACACACCTCTATAATACCAACGCTTCCATATTACAGTGTTCTTACATGACACAATTCTACAACCTACACACACAACCTACTCAATATAGCTACTACCACCTAACAACCCTACCAGTGCAGGATTATCATAGTAGCAAAAGTAGCTGCATATGTAGTAGCTAAATATGTAGCTACATTTGTAGCTACTACTACATATGTAGTAGTAGCTACTACATATGTAGTAGTAGCTACAAATGTAGCTACGGGCCCCGCACTTTCAAGGGCCCCACGCTAAATGCTTTCAAGCTGATGAAGGCCGCTTGTGTTGTGGCCGAAACGTCGTGATTTTTGTTGTTTTATTTTTTTTACCTACGTGACTTTACCGAATAGAACCAAAGAGTATGGATCCTTGCAGTCACGAAAGCTTTAAATCTAGAATTGCTTTCAAGCTATCAATTCCGGTTCAGTGATTCTGCACTTGCTCTATTACTATAGTACTATACCGCCTTCAACTTTTACGAACGACTGGGTGTTTAAGGTTAGCGATTTGTCGTATTATCTGGCTGTATAGCAAATAAAAAAATACAATTACTTTACTATGCTAGTTAAAAAAAAGTAAGGTCCCTTTATAACATGCTTCTAGCTTAATCCGGCAACTGAGCCCTACACACATGCTCTACACACTAGTCCTCCCCTCTGCTGGTCGACACATCGACTCACCATTTACACTCACACGCAATCCATCTCTGATCCATCAGCCCTCCTTCTGCAGTCTGGACACGCCACGGGCCCCCGTGCCACTGGCATATTGAAAAACGCGCGCGCTCGCACCACCAAACCGTACCAGCGGGCTTCAACTCGTAGCTTCGGCGTGGACACTGTGCAGGATTCAACATTTGGAATGTGCTCGGGGGGGATGACGAAGCACACACACGGGGTAATTGCTCTTGAATGGCGAGGTGGTGGTGGGGGGGTCAGTCCAACACCGTTACGCAACGACCGAAAATCTCACACGCACGGAGCCGAAACAGATTGTAGGGGCAAGTGCTGTTAGCGAGTAGCGCCTACGAAGGCCGGAACGGCACGCAACCACGCCCGGCCGCCTTTGTCTCCCCGATGGCGATGTTTACTACACACCGCACCAGGTACTCGTTTGAGACTGAGTCGACCTAGGGGAGGCCCATGACCGGTTCAGATATTCGTCACTGGGTGTTGGTGGCCGTGAGCGGGAATCGAACTTTGGGGTCGCCCTGTTCGTAGCGCAGCGACCTAGGGGTGGCCCAGGAACTGGTCGTGGGTCGCCCCTAGGTCGACTCAGCCTCAAATCGGTACCCGGTGTGCAATGTGTAAACATCGCCAGGAGGGAAACAAAGGCGGCCGGGCGCGGAGCTGGCTACCCATCCCCCTCCGTGCCGGCCTTCATAGTTGCTAGGCACGCACTGCAGTACACAAAGACAAAGATCCCCCGTGTAGCCTTAACAGACTGCTGGGGCAAGTGCTGTTAGCGAGCACCACCTATGAAGGCCGGCACTGCACACGAGGGGGTGGGTGTCCAGCACCACGCCACAGTATAAAACACAAACACACACACAGAGAGACTACACGTCCCCTATCTACTACAGTCTACACACACACCCCTCCCCCTGTAAAGGGTGACCAGCACTCAGGTACACACACACACATTCATGTGCCACACACACTCCGTGTCCCTCCACACTCTGCCTGTGCCTCTCCCCACTCGTTGCTATTCACCCTCGCCCCTCCTCCCTTTAAGCTCACGCTACTAACCCTACACCACACACACAAAGACAAAGATCCTCCGTGTAGCCTACGCAGGCTGGAGGGGCAAGTGATGTTGGCGAGCAACATCATCACCAGGTGGCAGACATCGCGGCGCCAGAAATCGAGTTGGTGTGGCTAGCACCACGCCCGGCCACCTTTGTCTCCCCAGAGCCGATTGTTCAAATACCGCACCAGGTACTTAAATAAGGCCGAGTAGACCTAGAGGGTGTCCGTTACCGGTTCAGATGCTACCCGTGGCCGGGAATCGAACTCATGCTGCCGGGTTCGCCAGCACAGTCGCGAGTTGACCACTACGCCATTGCTCTCCCACACATTTGTCATCAATAACACTGTAACGTTTCGGGATAGGGCCCTTTCCAGCAAAGAAATTCACATATCCGCACCGCTGCTGCTGCACCCCCCCCCTTCACCCCCCTTCACCCCGAACCCTGCCCACCCACCACCGCTTCCATTGTAAACACAACCCTCGACTTCGGCTATATATACACACACATTAGAACCCCTGCACGCTTATACATCAGATGTGCTATGTATAGCATCGCGTGTATTAAACATGGCCCATAGAAACCTTGGCACCGTACCTATGAACACTGCGAGGTCCTGAGCCAAAGGGAATCGAGCCGAGGCGCCGAGGGATACGGGAGGCAGAAATCTCCTCTCCAATGAAAACCAAGAGGCGCCCTGCTCATTAGACATCAGCTCATTCCTCTGCCCTCACCTGCCTTCACAGACTAGCTTTACATCTCCCACCAACATCGCTTCTCCATGCTTCTCCCCTCCCTACAAGTCTCTCTCCTCTCCCTCCATAGACCTCCACGATTCCTCCCCTCTCCTCCCAGCGTCTCCCTCCGTCTCTCTATAACCTCCCTGCCCCTCAACCACTCTTATATCTATCTCCCTCTGCCCTCATCTTCCACCTTCCGCTGCCCTGTCTACACGTTCCCACCTCCCTTCCGTCCTCTGTCTGGACCAAAACTTTGGATACCAGGAAGTTCACTGTTTTACTACGGTTTCGAACAATTATTTTCCAGTACATAAAAAAACTACGTAAAAAAATCATTCAAATTTAATGCAAAAAAAATCTGCTCAAGAGCAGGATACAAATGTACTAATGTTCCTTGCTATTAGGCCGAATAAAGTCAATGCATTCAGGATGTCGTAAATTAATTTTATGTTAAAATGGATTCCATCCCATCACGGTTACAATCAGGAGGCTACTATAAAATCCACTATTCACGTTTTTAACAACTGAGAAATGTCACACACCGTTACAAATCGCACACGATTACGAAGAGTCACGAGTTTCTCTTCGAAAGGGCACGCATTTTATCCACGTTATCAATATTCCAAACCAACGTTTATTCAAATAAATGGCACTCATTGAGAATTGTAAACCCAGTAGTGTACGCCTCTTGTGTGACAGCAGGAATCTGTGCCGCCCAATGACTCTTGTAAAACCACGGAG